AATGAAATCATTGTGAGCAGAGGGGGATTTTTGAACGGAAGATCAAAGAAGCGTGTGATGCTCTCAGGCACAGCGTTTATTCAGGCATCGGTCATTAACCTCTGCAGCCTGGGCTGTGCAAACGTTGTGTCTGCAGTGCGAGCGGGATGTCCCTCTAAGCAACAGGAATTCCATTTCAGAGGCACACAGCCAAAATCAAACCCAGCTCCCTGGTACTTCCAGTGGCCCTGCACAAACTCCTTTCCCTGACATTCGGTCGCATGGGGCAGACGCAGCTCCATGTTGTACCTGATTCACCTGAGCACACCAGACAAGCATGTCTCCCTGATATGACATCTCCCGTCAGATGTAAGAAACCTTTCCCTGACATGACTGATGCAAACCTCTACCTGACACATCCCTATTTCTCTGCATGGGACGAAAGTTTATCTGGCACTACTGCATTTTCCTGACACCCCCACGGTACTACTCAGCACCGAAGGGATTAAGGCGAAGAAAATGAGGATCCTAGCCCTCCTGCCTGCAGAGCTGTATGTCCTGGGCACCTCCCTGGCTAGGCCTTTTGTGTGTCACCAATGTGAGTGTTCGTCAGGAAAGCTATTACAAGAATCAGTCTTCATATGAGATCAGAATTGATCTATCACTGTATGGAGGAGCTCACCTGTGAGCTTCATCTGTCACTGTGTGGAGATGACCATGGAAGTCTGAGATGGAGGATACAAGCGGGGGCAAAAACTGAGACCTGGTGACTGTAAGGACAAGGGAAGGAAGGTCCCTAACAAAGAACAGTCTGCAGCTATCCACTTGCTTCTCCATCGTACGTATCCCCATCCAGTCTCTCGGGGTGCATCTACACTGCACCCGTCACTCAAAATAAGCAACGCAATTTGAGCTACAGAAATTGCATCGCTTATTTCGAGTGTATTCCGAAATAGCTTATTTTGATAGAGCGGTATTCCGAAATGTCCCTTAATCCTCGTGGAACGACGTTTACAGGGACCTCAGAACAGCAAGCCGGTTATATTTCGAAAGCTATTTCAAAATAACGGGCTTGTTTAAAAGAGGTGAAATAGCTGTTTTGGGATACCAGAAGTATCCCGAAACAGTGCTGCTGTCTGGACACACCCTCAGTGTAGGTCCATGATTACAGGGAATAGACTGGACCACCTGCCCAAAGGCAGGGTTGGATTAATGCAAAAGTACACCCAGCTCCATAACATTCTAGGCCTCTGTTTGAAACATCACCCCTCTTATTAGATTTGTTTTCTGACCCACTTCTGGAATGGATTCTCCCAGTTCCCACCCACCCTGCCTGAAGGACTCTTCATCTGCCTTCTACTCCCAAGTCCCTGATTCGCCTCCCACGTAGCCCAGCCAGCTCAGCAGGCAACAAACAGTTGTGCACTGTGCCGCCACTTGCCTCTCCAAAGTACTGCTCTCTCTGGGCCTGCATCCCAAAGCCCCAGGCATCCTGCCTTCACCTGGCCCTGCCTCCAAATTCTTTCTGAGCCCAGTGGATAATCAGAGTGGAAATGGTTGTTTCTCATTTGTTTTAATCTCATGCTCATGAGTACATGTCTGATCATCATCATCATAGTACCAAAAACAGTATTTACAACAAGCTTGAGGTCAGAATTACACACCAAGCAAACACTCAGCACTACAGAGTAGGACGGGGTTAATATCTTGCAGACATCTTCTCAGCTCCCACCGGTGTGAGACACGGACGTTTGACAGTTTCAACCATTTCTTACACACAAACATTTTATTTATTTATTCATTAACTTTTTAAAATTTATTGTCACTATATGGATGAGATGATTCTGGCGGTGATTCCGCAGTATACACAGATGCTTACCCTAAGACAACTGCTACTTATAAACTGATGGTTAGCTACGGTTAAGAAATTCAACCCTCAGTTTCCATTCCTTTGCCCCACCCTGCCCTGAACATGCTTCATGGCCCTGGACACTCCTGGGGCCCATTAACAGTCCTGCCCTTTCTCTGACCTTAGCAGAGGGGTGTGTGAGTAAATGCGCTCTACCTTACGGAGCAGAGTTTTCCCTTCCTATCCAGAAACATGCTGTGGCCATAGAGAGATCTTCTCTAGTTAAAAGGAGGATTTATTCTCTGGGGCTGTTTACTCTACAAGGTTTTTGCGCAAAAACCGGGGGAGCATCCACACCTCAAGCCCGTTTTTGCGCAAGTAAATCGACAGAACAGAGGGCTTTTGCTGGTAGAGTTATTTCTCTCCCCACGAGGAATAACTCCTTTTTGCGTTACAGTTCTTGCGCAAAAAGGCAGGAGTGGACCCCCGGAAGGGGTTTGCGCAAGAAACCCCTATGGGAAAAAGCACAGGTGCTATGATGGCCATTTTCCAAATGGCCATCAGAACTTTCTTGCGCAAGTGCGTCCATGCAGTGTGGATGCTCTCTTGTGCAAAAGCACATTGCTTTTGAGATGCACTTTGAGGTCTGGACGCGCTTTTGCGCAAGAAGGTTTTGCACAAGAATTCGTCCGCAAAAGGCTTCTTGTGCAAAAACCCTGCAGTGTAGACAAAGCCTGGTAGATGAGGGAGAGGCAAGCAACCTTACATCCAGCAGCAGCTGCCACTTCTTTACCACATTTTGGGGGTTTTGTGACTAGTTGCTACCCGTCAGGTTTGGGGTATGGCAGATTCCTTTCACAGTGCCAGATCCTGGCAGACGGAAAGTTTGAAGCTTCCGAACTCAGCAAATATTTGTTGCAAGGGGGGGCACAAGGGGAACTTAAACCAAATAGGAAATCCCCATCGGCTTTGGTCTCTTGACACCACCTGGGTCCTTGAGGCCACCTGGCATTCCAGCCCTGCTTATCCCGGTTCTGGTTTGTGGTGCCCCTTGGCGCCCACCTTACTGCACAACTGCCAGGAACCGCGGTGTGTAAAAGGAAGCTGTATATATACATATGCACTGCACCCAGGAGCCTAGTCACTTGCACAAGTTATTTCCTGGGTGACATTGCCTCCGCAGAGCCCCACTGGGGGTATGTCTACACTTGCTCCCTAGTTCGAACTAGGGATGCAACTGTACCTGACTGAAATTGCTAATGAAGCGGGGATTTAAATATCCCACGCTTCATTAGCATAATCTCGCCCGCACGCTATTCTGCTCGCCAGCTGATTCGAACCAGGAAGTGCGCTCCGGGATATGTTAGTTCAAATCAAACCCCTTGGTTCGAACTAGAGTTACTCCTCATTTTTTGCTTCATTAGCAATTTCAGTTGGCTACATTTGCATCCCTAGTTCGAACTAGGGAGCAAATGTGGACGTACCCTGGAGGAGGAATGTGCCTCAGCTCTAATGTGGCTTTTTGAAGGCAATGTGTGTAAAGCGCCCCTGTTACTAGCACATAATCTCCTGTCCCTGTGTTAGCCGGTTAGTTCATCCTGGGTTTGCAACAGCATTAGAAGGGAGGATGAATTTCAGTCCATGACTCCTTCCCATATCTGTGCCTGTATTCCTGCTCCCATGGTCTTGCCCTGGAAACACTGGGCTGGGCTGGATGAAAGGTACCAGTACGCTGCCGAGGTGGGTGGAAGGAATCTGTGAGGCTCCATGTTCCAAAGGAAAAAGAGCTGCCAAGTTCTCCTCCACAGAACCCTCCCACTGGGGAATGCTCTTGTGCACGCCGAATCCTGCACAAACACCCTACAACACGTCTTCTCTGCAGCTGAGACTATGCCGTCTTTCTCGCACTTTAACCACAGACCTAAAAATGCCAGCTGATGTATCAAGTCAGATTCAGATCTGGCACTGAGTGTCTGCCACTCTATTCCCCCCTCCGGGATAGAAGGGCAGACTCCTTATGGCTCGGCTCATAATCTGCTTTACTGCAACCATCTTTGTAAACAGTGAGCTGTTTACAAAGGATAGGATAGGCCGCCGGGGTATGTAGTTATATCAGAAACCATTACCGGCCCCTCCCTCCAGGTATGGCAGCACTCTGGTAATCTCAGCCTGTATGTTTCATGACACTGGGATTCCCCTGTGAGAGTGAGATGAATGAAAACTTCACATTTCAACCTCCATGACTACAATAGAAGCAGGGACACAAACATCTCCTAACCCTGCCTGTCCTCTCCCTGGCAGCATCCCCCACCGCTCTGCACAAACATCTCCTAACCCCGCCTGTCTTCTCCCTGGCAGCCCCTCCCCTCCCCGTCTTTTCCAAAGCTGCCACTCTGGATACACTGTTGCAGAGATCAGTGTGCCCTTTCCTATAGTGTGAGGATGAAGAGCTAGAGCTTTTGGGTTCATTCTGTGATCTTTGGTCCAAATGTCTCTCCTGTAATGGTACTGAAGAGTCACATCTATCTTTGGGAAGAGGGAACAAGGATTCTCCCAAATTAGAGTTTCTCTAACAGCCAGTGGCCCAGCTGACAGCCAGACGCCCTTTCTACGTTTATTTATTTACTTACTGCAGCAAAATGTGGTTGTTTGTGGAAAGCCTCTGGAGACTGAGCTGCCCTGATTATCCACAGGAGCAGGTTCGACACAGGCAGTAACAGTTTAGGCTTTCCTGATACCGCTTAGTCAGTGTCCCCCAACCTTGCCTCTACAATGGAGAGGGTTGCTCAGGCTATGGGCTTATTCAGTCATGGCCAACTAGGATGTCCACTAATGCCTATGGTGACAGTATTGTTGGTGATGTGGGCTTTGGTCTGTGACCCCCCCAGCTGATTGCACATGGGCTCCCAAAGTGCCTTCTGAAAGTAACAACTAAGTCACTACCTACCTTGTCCGGCGTCAAACCAGTGACCCAAGGTGAAAGGCTCTGCATGACATAACCAATTCCTTGAGCCATCTGGTCCCTTTCTCCATCTGCTGGGAAATAATGGATCCATTAACCACTCCCTCCCTAGGAAGAAATCCTCACTATGTACTGCCTTTTGCCTGGACACTGATATCTGGCTCAGAGCAAACGCCAAGAGTAGTAAAAGCTCCTGATAGGAAATCCATATTTCCACGACACTGCTGGTTGAATTTATTAATATCTGAATTCTTTACATCAGTTTAAGAAAGATTTTTTTTTTTAAAAAAGAACAAACTCCCAAAGAGAAGCTGATTGATTGGTTATTGACTAATTCTATACTTCATATGAACTAGCTGCTATTCTGCTTAGAGGTAACCTATGGCCTGTGATCCCCCACAAGTACTGAACAGTTAAGGATGGAGAGAGAGAAGCGTGTAGCTAGGGAACTAACACCAGAGGGTGGGGGGAACTAGGGAACCAAATGTTGCATCCAGACAAACAAAATAAAATATGTTGGGTTGGTTGATTTGTTTGTTATCAGGAACCAGGTGCTGGATGTGTAGAAAAGCCCTTTATCCAGAGATCTCCTCCCGCTGTTCCTTGTTCCTGCGCACTTCAGCTGCATGCAGTTCCTGCAAAGACACGGAAAGGGTTACAGGGGTGGGGCAGGGGATGGGACTCGATGACCTCGAGGTCCCTTCCAGTCCTAGTATTCTATGATTCTATTCTATGATTCCCAACTGTTGGGCCACGTCGCTGGGCCGCAAACCACTGGTGGCTGGGCCACTGCGGCTGTCGGAGCTCAAGCCGGCTGTTCCCAGTGGCTCACTTCCAGCACTTGTGGTGGCTCAGGCGGCGGCAGCAGGAAGCGTCTCCCTTCCTCATCCTCAGTCCGCGCTTGGGAAGGGAGAGGCCCGAAGAAGGAGTGCCGCTCTTTCTGCCCACAGGCAGTAACGGCCACGCTCCCTAGAGGGGCAGCCTCGCTCTGGTGAGTGCGGGGATGGGGTGGGGGCAAAGGGGTGATGGGTGAGGACATGCTGGGGTCATGGGGCAAGAGGATGTTGACATGGGCTGTAGGGGTCAGAGGGTAAAGGGTCAAAGGGCATGGGGCGTAGAAGTGGGGGGTCAAAGAGTGTTAGGCACTGGGGAGCAAAGGATTAGGTTGGGGGGGGCTAGGTGGACCAGTAACATTTTATGTCCATATTTGCATAATGACTATGCAAATATGCACATTAAATGTTACTGGTCCCCCAAACGTTTGTGAATGGGTTTGCCAGTCTGTGGCATAAAAAGGGTTAGGGACCACTGGGTTACAGCATCTGCAGGCTGCATAGGGCAAACCCAAGGTTATTTCGCATCTCCCCTCATTTTCGTCTGCAATTTAACAGTTTCTGGTTCTGAGCATGGAGCTGTTCATCCCCTCTTTCTCAGGGGCACTGGCACCATCAAATAAATGCACTAGAACCAGGTCATAGTGCAGTTCTGCTGAAGTCACCACCAGCGTCATACGTGGGGTCAATTTAGCCCACTCTTGTGTGGGGCTCAGAAAACCAGGTTCATCACATGAACGTTCTGTGAATGGGTCTTCAGGACTGGTCTTCACAGCCTACTGCAGATGTCCCACAAAAAGAGCCCCACACAAACGGTGTTCTGCCCCTACTGGGACCAAAAGTTGTAGCCTCTGGCCCAAGGGGTGAGCAGTTATCACAGTACCGTGCAGCAGAGGAGGCCTTTGGGCTCCTAAGCAAGGACCAGCAGAAGATAAGATAATGTTCTCTGCTGTTAGTCCAGAAGTGAGGGATCTCCTCCACTTCATGGCCTCCTGAGCTACTGCTGGAGAGCTCTTTGAGTGCTAGCTCTGACAGAGGAGAGGGCAGAGGTGGCAAGGAAGAGCCCAAAGCTCAGTGCTGACTTTCACACAGCCAAGTACAGAGTCCTAACCCCCTCCAAAACCCAACACGAGAAGGTCAGAGGCAGCAAGAGAGAGGGAGAAGGAAGAAAACTGGGGTGCAGGGCTCCAGAGGGAAGGGGCGGGCAGTGCACACTGAGCACCTGGGGAGGGAGAATTGCACAAGCTAACCGAGGAAAACGGTGGTGCAGGAGATGCAGCTTGCTCTGATGCTGAACATCCCCGTTCAGTTCAAGGTGAGCAGGTCAGGCTATGGATGCTAGGCAAAGGCTTTGGCACCAGCAGCCACTCTACTGTAGGCAGGCGTCCTGCCCTTGCCCACTCTCTTCGGCTGTGTCTAGACTGGCCAGTTTTTCCGGAAAAACTTGCCAGCTGTCTACACTGGCCGCTTGAATTTCCGCAAAAGCACTGATGATCTCATGTAAGATTGTCAGTGCTTCTTGCGGAAATACTGTGCTGCTCCTGTTCGGGCAAAAGTCCTTTTGCGCAAAACTTTTGTGCAAAAGGGCCAGTGTAGACAGCTCAGGTTTGTTTTCCGCAAAAAAGCCCCAATCGCAAAAATGGCGGAAAAGCGACCTTGCCAATCTAGATGCTCTGTTCCGAAAATGCTTTTAACGGAAAACTTTTCCGTTAAAAGCATTTCCGGAAAATCATGTCAGTCTAGACGTAGCCTTGGTGTGCGTGGACACAGGACTCTAGCACTTGCCTTCTCGCGCAGTCGCTCCCTCAAGGCAGCTAGGTGAGCTTCACGGATCTCCTTGCTCAGCTCCATCTTGTAGTTGAGCTTCTCCTCAGCCAGCCGGCTGAAGTTATTGTTCTCCTCCAGGGCCTTGTGCAGCACCTCCCGCTCGTGCTCTCGTTTCTCCGCCAGCTGCTTCAGCACTTGGGCCTCCTGGGTCTGTGGGAAGCCAACAGATCGGGAGGTGAGGGTGGATCTAGAACATCTCCCTGGAGGTGCCCCCTGTTGGCCACATTCTCCCCACCCCACAATTCCTTTCTAGTTCACATGGAACATGTCTTCAAACTTCTCCCTTTGCACCTGCGTTCAAAAGTCCATTGCACTGTTGGTGCAATTTGAAAGCTGTGAAGGGACCCTCTGGAAAGCTACCCCTATGCATTAAATTGCCTCATCTTCTTCTGCTCTTACCCACCTGTTCTGTAGTGTTCTGGTTTGCCTCTCTCTGTCATTTTTTGTACTTTTCCAATATTTCTCTCTAGGAAGATTGTAAATTATGCTCATAAACAAAGTGCAAAAATAGCATTGCCAGCTGTTAAAAATCAATGGCATGGTGCAAAAGGTGCCGGTTCAGAACTTTATAGGATGTGTGGTTAATATTTGTAGCTCCTATAAAGATAGCTAGTGACAAAGAGTTTCATTCACCAGCAGTGTAGAGGTACACATATAATATACTAGGAAAATCTAACCCAGAGGACCACAAGGTTCCATAGATTGTAAGGCCAGAAGGGACCGTTATGATAATCTATTCTAACCTCCTGCACAGCACAGGCCAGAGAATTTCATCCAGTAATTCCAACATCAAACCTACCAGCTAGGGATGTAAGACACAGCACTATTGCCAGACACAAGATGTGGCTCCTAAAGAAAGCCCGTGGTGGTGGTTTTTCCTGCCCCCAACTATGAGAGAGGGTCACATGGCAAATACATGATTGGTTCTGTAAATTAGCATTGCCCTGGAATATTCCGTTACCTTCCTTCTCTCCTCTGCAGCTTCCAGCCTCTTCTGAAGCTCCTCCAGGGACAGGTCCTTCTTCTTAGGGGGAGAAGAGAGGACGGGACTCTCAGGGGACAAGTCCGAAGGGGACTTCAGGATCACTTCAAAGCTCTGGCCAGATGCCCTTTTGTCCAGCTGTTTCACCTCCATGTCTATGAGAGGAAAAGCAGCACTTTATGGACTGTGGGACACTCATGAAATGGCTAATTTGATAAAGTCGCCTTGCTACAGCTGCCGTGTCATTCCCTGATGCTCAGATCACGCAGCGAGATCAGCTGTGATCATATGCTTCTAACTGGGGCGTGCTGTCACTGGACTCCCTGCCAGAGGGGGCCAGAGAAGATGTATTGTGGAAACAAGTTCTCTTTCCACTATGGGCCCAGTCCCCTGGACTTCATCTGGTTTTGGATCACTCCTCATCTGTAGCTCAGTTCATCTCTTGTTAAGCCCAGTGATACGTTTCTATATCACCTCTAGCTCTCCAGTGCTGTTACAACACTTCTTTATGCAGGTCCTCTGAAAAGCCACAAAACGGGCAGAGAGAAGGATGCTGCTGCTGGGTTTTTCAGACAGAATGTAAGACCAAGGTATTGCCCTCCCTGTGGTCACCAACGGACTCATGGTCCTTTCCCTAAATAGGAAAGTTAATTCTAGTGTCCTGGCCAAATTCCAACATGGGTAATTCCATTCTGCCTCCCAGAATTCCCCACTGCAGGTTCAGCTGCATCCCCAAATCCCCTTTACTTTCAGACCCACCACTGCCTGCTGCTGCTCTGCACCATAACATTTGACAACAATGCGCCAATTTCTAGGTTGTATGGCGCCACTGTCCCTGTTACAGCAAATTCTCACTATTACAGGCAACTAATCTGACAGCCATCAAACAAGTGCAGCAGAGCTGATGGCAGCCACGGCAAGGACATATTGCTGATAGCGCCTAGATTGATATCCCGGGATAACGGCGCCCTTTGATAACAGTCATGCAGCGGGTAAATGTAGGGTCCTGTGTTAATGAACCATGCTAAGGAAGTGGACCAAAATACCATGGCTCCAGTAATACAAACAACTTGGATCAGGACAGGGACATGGTCTCTCCCCAGGCAGGGACTCAGCCTAATGTTCTGAAGGCCTCCCAGGCTTACAGAAGCTGCCTGCAGATCGGCTCTACAAGAGAATTGCACGTGTCGTTTACCTCCATACTGGTAGATGGTATTGGGGTGCGGCTGAGTGTGGAAACAGGAGCAGATCAGGGAGAGCAAGGACAGCTCCTTCATTTTCTCTTTGTAGGCTGGAAAGAAAGAAACAGCAATGAGTAGAGAGGTCCCTTGGCAATGTCTTGCCTTTCTCTGGGGGAGGGAACCAGGGGAATACACAGAGGCCCATTTGTGGCTACAGGACTCTCATGGCTTTTCCAAATACCAGATGCAGCTGCAGGCTCCCCAGGGATACCTGTGCAAGTGTCCCCCACATCTGCGGGAGGTACAGTAAATGCCACAGGGCAATGTCTTAGAGAGATTTTACCATCTTTACGGGGGTGAATCACTCAGGAGGAATGCTCCCCTCAGTTGCAAGAAAGGCAGGTTGGAAGCGGGTAATTTCAGCCCTTGTAAATAACCGCTCGGCGAAGGCTGCCCAGATACCCGCCCTTGGACAGTTCCAGACTCAGTGATTAAGAATGATTAAGCCCCACTAAAACACTGCCAGTCAGTGCCTAGAAGCAGGTCCTGATCTATAGTGGGACAAACCCCCATGGCCTGTAGAGAGGGTCCCCGCCATGATCCTGCATGTCTGTTGTCAATAAGAAACAATCAAATGAAGAGATGAGGCCAGATGTGTGGGGAACCGGGGTAAGGTTGGGTCAAGAATGAAGAATGAAGCACTTCAGGGAGCTGGACCCAGAGTGCACGTGAGCGGCTTTGAACTGTCGCTTGCAGGGTGCATGAAAGTGAACACAAGCCTGGTTCTCGCTGTGACCTGAATCCATAAGCCTAGGAACAGGGCTCTGGGCTCAGGGTGACAGAGACAAAGTGATGCTAAGAGCTGGCCTGGGTGATAATTGGATAATGTAAAAGGGATTGCTGGGGGTTAACTGGGTGACAAAACTCACCACCCACAGTTTGCTACCATACCACTGAATTTCTAGCCCATGTAAGCAGGGTTATCCATGACCCTACCTTTTGCAAAATAAAACGGGTTCACTGAACCCCCTCCCGCCACTGTCCATGGCAGGCACTGTCACATGGGAGATCACATTCCCAGGACAAGGGACTCCTGCTGGGGGCCTGCCTAGCGACAGAAGAATCGATTCAGCACACTGTGAAGCCAACAGCCCCGGAGGGTGCCAGGCACAGAGTAGAGATCCCTGCACCTTTAATTTTCACCTGCAGCAGCATTTCTATTAGGGATGTGAACGACTAGTCGACTATCCAATAAGCAAATGCTTATCAGACAGTCGACAGGCTAGTCGACTTGTCGCTTCCCCCCTCTTGCTGCCTCTGTCGGAAAGAGGCAGCAAAGGAGGAGGGAGAGAAGAGAGGGTGCTTCAAAGCGGCAGTGCCATGTGGAGCCCAGGGCCAGATCCTGGGCTCCATGTGGCGCTGCCGTTTTGACAACGCTGCGTGCAGCCCGGGGCCAGCTGGGAGTCCCCCGCTGACCCCGGGCTCCATGCAGCTTTGCCACCTTGAAACGCCACAGGGAGCATGGGGCCAGGGGGCAACAGCTTGAGTCCCCTGCTGGCCCCGTACTCCCCGCAGCACTTTCGCCTTTGACGTGTAGCTACAGCTGTTGCTACACTTGCTGACAGCTGTTGCAACACTTCAAAGGCGGAAGTACCCTTATTGGCTAATCGAATAGTCAATGCAAATTGCATTAACTATTCAATTAGCCAAATAATCAAAATTTTACATCCCTAATCTCTATTGCAGCTGCTCCAGGCCTTTATCTCAGCAGTACATTAGCGAGGGTTTAATGGATCCTGTCATTAACCTACACCTCACCGCTGGGAAGGTCGCTGCTGGTGTTGGGTGATGGTAAAACCTGCCTGTTTCTCCCTCCTCCCAACATCTGAGAGTGAGGCTGGGATATACCCACCTTCCCAGCTCAGCCCCTGGGCAGCTGCTCGGGTGGGCTTGGCTCAGCATTGTTGTGACAGAAGTTGCAGCTGCAGCATCACACGGTGGAACGGCACATGACAAGCTGCTGCTCTAAGCGCCTAGTCTGCAGAGCCATGGCCAGCACCTGTAGCTTCTGCATTTAACCCGTTCTCCCTGTTACTGAAATGAGCTCAGGGTGTGAACCACGTGAATCAACGCAAAATAGAACAAATGGTCCTGACCCCTTTCCCCCAGGAGGATTCATTAACCCTCATTTCACCGCAGCCAGACGAGGAAGCAGCTCCAATTTACAGCGGGGAAACTGAAACAGCACTGGCCAAAGGTCAGACAGCAAGTCAGCGGCAGAGTTAAACCTGGGAATCTTGATTATAGTCTCTTGGCCACTAGACACTGTTGCTAATACACCCGTCAAATCATCCGGGGCACGGTGGGAAGATCCTGCAGAAGGAGGCCCCAGGAAGCTCCCCACAAAGGAACACACTGTGTGTGGAGAGCCAGAGTCTCAGCCTTCTGGGGTTTGGTTTTATTAACAAAAAGGTGACTTAAACAAACCTGGCCAGCCCAATGTCTTCCCAGGAGAGGCTGCTCCTAGGGCCCTGCCATCGTTTAACGTGTGCCTAGCCTCTAGTCACCAGGCTTGTACGCAGGGTACAAAGGAGCCATGAGGACCTCAGTGAGTCAGTAGTAAGGAACCAGCTGCTCTCCACAGGGTCCCAGCACCAGCTAAGGGGGAACACCACTGCTGGACATACACTTCAAGCCTCTATAAAGTACCAAGTGCAAGGGAATCTAGAGAGATGCCCATCCCCTTCCCTCTGCTGAGTTAGCTTTGTAACCTTGTGGGATAGGAAAAGGCTTATGAAAGGGAATCGTTAAAGGAGAATTCCCTGGATGGGGAATTAGGGGAGCTGCAAAGCTAAAAATTGATTTCCAATATTGTCACATTGTTTACCGTGTCCCTTCATAGACACTTCTCTTCCCAGCCTCCCAAGCCTGACCCTCCATCTTCGCCCTAGCCACAAGTGTTTGGAAAGGTGACAGTTATAGGACAGTACTACGGACAGCAGTTACATCACTCACCTCAATGCTACGTGGTTCCTTTGAACCTGTGTTATCTGCTTTCCCAGGCTGCAAATCTTTGTATTTATTTGTAGCAGCTTTGCCTTTGCTGCTCCACCAGCCCTGCTGGTCAAATTTCCCCCATTCACATTACAATTTGCACCCCACACACCCCAGTTCTAATACCAAACACAAGGCTGGTCATGTTTAAATTTACTCCAGAAAAGACCAACTTGCTTCAACAATGCAAAATGCAGAGGGGGGCGGGGGACTGTTGGTTTAATTTAGCTAATCCGCAAGCAGCAAGCATCACTGCGTGGTGACTAGTGGATGCCTCACCATTGTGACAGAGGCAGTTTTGTGGTTCATGGGACACTAGTAGTCTGCAGAGCACTGCTGTTGCCTTTCCTATGGGCTGTGCAACTGTCCCAGCACATGGCTAGCAGGCACCCCCAAGAGAAAGACAGGATGTGTCTGAAAGAAAAATGTGTATCTAATCGGTACGTTCTTATTTCAACTTGCCCTTTCCTGCAAAGGAAGCTTTGCCTTTCCCAGAGTGCCTTGTCCTGTCGGTCAATGGGGGGAACAGAGGTAATGTATTATTTGGACCTTTCTTCATGTACATTTGGGGTTTTTCTGTCCCCTGAAGATTCAGGCCTGATGTCTTAGGCTACATCTAGACTACACGCCTTTTTCAAAAGAGGCTTTTTTGAAAGATACTTTTGAAAAAGCCTCTTTCGAAAAAGAGTGTCTAGACGACTAGTACTTTCAAAAAAGCAAGTCGCTTTTTTGAAAGAGAGCACCCAGGCAGTCTGGATGCTTTCTTTCGAAAAAGCACAGTTTGCATTACATAGTGCCTTTTTTCGAAAGAGCACTTTCAAAAAAAGGTGTTCTTCCTCGTAAAATGAGGTTTTCCGTGGTTGATAAGACTGCCGCGTTCTTTCGATTTACTGTCAACAAAATGCGGTGACAGTCTAGACTCAGGTAAAGATTAAAAAAAAAAGGCCACTTTTTTCAAAAAATCCCTGTAGTCTAGACACACCCTTAGCAAGGACTGATTCTTATTGCTAAAACATGTGGGCTTAAGATTAGGAATGTAATCAACTAGTCAAGTAGTCAACTACCTGATAAGCATAGACTTACTGGGTAGTTGAATGACTACTCGACTACTTGCTCCTCCTCCCCCCGCTGCCTCTGTATCAGAGGCAGCAAGGGTGGGGAAGCAGGAGCCAATGCTGGGGGGAACCAGCTTAAAAGCCAGCTCCCCCCAGCACTGGCTCCATGGTGAGGAATGTCTGGTGGGGGGGGGGGAGCAGGGGAGGCAGAGCCGGGACTGCTCAGTCCTGGCTCGCACAGGCCCCAGGAGCTAACTCTGCTGTGCCTCTGCACTTTAAATATAGTAAGAGCCCAGCGACTCTTAGCTCATTTAAAATGCAGAGCTGCAGCAGCAGTAGCGAGTGCCCATCCTCATTGACTAATCAAGGAGTTGATGGAAATTCCATTGACTACTCGATTAGCCAGTTAACTGTTACTTAATGTTCTTATTTAGGATGCTTCTCCCAAACTGGGGCTGGGAAGAGATTTCCCTTTGAGCATTTTAGCTGGGATCTTTTCCTCCTTTTCCTGGCGGCCTGAGAAAGGCTCTCCATGAGGATCAAGTGTATCTGGTTTTTTGGATTTCAGGAGGCCTAAGCACTATTAGATCTTTGGCCTTGCCCATCTCTTCCTTTTGGAGACAGCCTTCTGCAGGCTGACTGAGCAAGGATTTTGTATGGGGATTAGGAAAGGTGGGCCAGTTTCTTGTGATGTCAAGACCTGTGGACTTTTGTTGGAAGGCGCTCTGGTGTAATCTGGACATACACGTTTGGATATTTTGTGACAAGAAGGTTTCAGACCATTCCAGGGTCCACTGCTCTAGCTCCTATACCATGTCTCGGTATTGCCGCGCTGTGGCTGTTATACCCCAGTGCTGCTTATGAAGCCAAAAGGAGCGCCCACTGGGCCATGGCGAAGGAGTGTATCATTGTAATAGAAACAAACCACACCATGAGCCCTGGTTCCATTGGTAACCATGGTAACTCTCATGGCCTTGTGCTTGGTTATCTGAACTTTACTG